AGGGGCTTTGAAAGGTCATTTACTCCTTCCCACCAACTCTGATCAAAAAACTAAAATAAAATAATTGCAGACTATTACAAAGCCATGCTGGTTTTTAGAGACTTTCTGAAGGAGATTTCACAATCTCCCTCAGAAATACACTTGGGGTTTTTTAACAGCTCTCATTGTAGGAAAGGTCATTTTAATATCTATCCAGAGTCCCAACTGCTATAATAAAAGGCCACGTCCTCCTTTCTTGCTTCTTGTTAGAGATGGCGGAAGAGTTGGTTACTCTCTTCATCGTAAATGAGCGGTCATTGAGTGCCAACCAGAGGCCTAGGCTCTCTGCATTCTGATCGCCAGGAGTCACTTCACAGCTCTCTTCTTTCTGGCCAAATGAATCCATAAACTCTTCCTGTCCAGATGTTTGTTTCCAACTCCCTGTTGATCTTTGCTGCCTTTCTCTGCAGATGCTCTGCACACTTTCAGCAGGGGGCACATCCTTTCTGGTGGATTTAGAATTCAACAGATTTCAATGCAGTCAGATCTTTGGGTTGCTTTTGTTTTGTTTTGGATATACTTGTAGATTATACACAAGAATTTTTTCTCTATGACATGTTGAATCCTTCTAAGCCTTTCCTAAAGCTTTTATAACTTTAAGATAGAAGAAAATAGGGACGAAGGGAACAGAAAAGACATCAGAAACACATTGATAGAGAAAGCCTAGCTTATGAAACAGAAAGTCAAAAAAGTATCCTATATCCATAAAAAAAGGTAGAGTAGCCTGCTCAGTCAGCACTTTTGCTCAGAATTACTTTTAGCCAACAACCCGGCAATGCTCTGTGTCTGTGTGAGGACTGACAGTTATGAACACAAGTGTTTGCAAATGGAAATGAAACAAGAGTCCTACAAGAGTTCTACAATCAACCCAAGCTTTTGGTTCCTTTACTACTTCTTTCCTCACAGTTTGAGGCTAGGCAAGCAATCAATAAATGGTTGTGCAAATGGTTTACAAGGTTCTATGGGAAATTATAGAGATAGTGTTTATGAGGAGTTTAAAGCAGTGAAGGAGAATAAACCAAGTCACTGTCATTCAGGTAGTGTGACCTGCCAGGTATGGTGGTGTACATCTATAATCCCAGCTTCTTGGCAGGCAGAGATCAGGAGGAATGTGGTTCAAGACCAGCTCAGACTTTTTGTCTGAACTCAACCAACAGGCCAGGCATGGTGGTACATATCTATAATCCTAGCTATGTAAGAGGTATAGGTAGGCATCCCTGGGAAAACAAAATGAAGACCCTATCCATCAAAAATAAAATAACTACAGCAAAGGCAGGAGGGCGGCTCAAGTGGTAGAAATAGCATAAGGCCCTGAGTTCAAACCTAGAATGGCAAAAAGAAAGAAAGAAATGTATGAACCAAAATCAGTTTTAGGAACCCTAAGCAACGTAAATTCTAAAGACCACAGGTTTGAAGAGTCATCATGGGGGAGAGAGATCTTGCACTGGCACCTGACAGGGGGGTAACTAAAGATGGGTGGGTCCTGGATGAAGTGGAGAAGGCATATGACACTGACCACTACACAGGGACTTTTGCTACCTGGCATCCATCTGGCAGCTCAATGATCACAATTGAATTTGGGATCAAAGTGCAGCAAAGGACTAAAACATGGGGAACAGGAGTGACATGGAGGCAGCTGCATGCCCTGTGAAGTGGCTTTGCTGTGAAGTATGTGACCAGAGCAATTCACCTAGGAAGGAGTGACTGTGGTTCTCCCCAGCCAGTCTGATATTCAGTTGACATGAGTATATCCCAAGTGCTTGACTGAACATATGCCTGCACTTATGATTCTACAAAGGTACCATCCACGTGTACCTGTGCTCACAGATACACATGCACAACTCTCTCCTCCTAAGAAGGCAGCATAGAAAAGGCAGAACTAATTTTTCAGGTGTCTTATCTATCCTCACCCCTCCCTTGTGTGCTCTTGCTTTTATCATGTGCTCAAAGTCCAATCCCCTTGTTGTGTTTGCCCTTGAGCTAATGTCCACATATGAGGAGGAACATACGATTTTTGGTCTGTTGAGCCAGGCTAACCTCACTCAGAATGATGTTCTCCAATTCCATCCATCTACCAGCGAATGATAACATTTCGTTCTTCTTTGTGGCTGCGTAAAATTCCATTGTGTATAGATACCACATTTTCTTAATCCATTCGTCAGTGGTGGGGCATCTTGGCTGTTTCCATAACTTGGCTATTGTGAATAGTGCCGCAATAAACATGGGTGTGCAGGTGCCTCTGGAGTAACCTGTGTCAAAGTCTTTTGGGTATATCCCCAAGAATAGTATTGCTGGATCAAATGGTAAATCAAAGTTTAGCTTTTTAAGTAGCCTCAGCTAGCTAGCATTTGTTGCCCTTAATGCAGAGAAACTAAAGCAGATACCTTAAAAGCAACTGAGGCCAATAGGAAAAGGGGACCAGGAACTAGAGAAAAGGTTAGATCCAAAAGAATTAACCTAGAAGGTAACACACACACACAAAAAATTAATGTGAGTCAACTCCCTGTATAGCTATCCTTATCTCAACCAGCAAAAACCCTTGTTCCTTCCTATTATTGCTTATACTCTGTCTTCAACAAAATTAGAAGTAAGGGCAAGATAGTTTCTGCCGGGTATTGAGGGGGTGGGGGAGAGAGGGAGGGGGCAGGGTGGGTGGTAAGGGAGGGGGTGGGGGCAGGGGGGAGAAATGACCCAAGCCTTGTATGCACATATGAATAATAAAACAATAAAAAAAAAACTATTAAAAAAAAAGAAAAGGCAGAACTAAAGCTTGGCTCCTTGTTGGGCTGGTCCACAACACACATGAAAGAGATTTGCTACTTTTATGAACACACAAAAATCCTTATAGGGAAAGGCACTCTATGCTCTTGGAAAGCAAGATTAGAAAATAGTGGGGGAAGAGGGGAACAAAGAAAAAGAAAGAATAAGGTGATGTGCCAGAAGGTAGGTAGAGAAAAGAAGAACAAACACAGAAGAGACAGAAGAAAGAAGCATGGTATTTCAACTGTAGAAGAATTTGAGCTGTGAGTAAGGAAGTCTCATTAAATCCCTTGAGGGTAACATGTAGCTGCACCTGGAACGCCAGGATCTCATCACTGTATCCTTTAGACAAGGAATTACTGAGGTTCTGGACCACGTGCGAACTCATCCATCCATCTTCATTTCTGTCACATTTGGTCCTCAACAAATGTTTGTTGAATTAAAGAAATTATTATATCCTGGACTTTGTAATTTCTGGACAGATTATTCTTGTAAAATCAATACCAGTTTGTTTATCTTCTATAGGAATCCCTCTCCACGGGCTCCTAGCTCTACCAAGTGTCAGAATGACCTAATGGGAAGCCAGTGCTCACCATTCAGGCCTCTCTCCCTTCTCTCCCTCCCCCAAAGTCCCTCTACTCATTTTAAAATTTTTATAGTATAATATTTTATTCTCTTGACATAAGTCAAATGTATTCTTCAAATTTTCCTAGGAAAAAAATGCAGTGAGCCATATCAAACATTTATACCTTGGTCTGAAGGTATATGGCAGGTCCTTTCCTAAAAACAGGACTTGTGTTCTGGAAGGAAATGAAAATTCTGATTATCTGAGTAGCCAGAGAATGAGGCACATAAAAGACACAATGGGACCCCAGGACAACAGAGACAACTTGTTCCTGCTCCTCTGTGTTGTGTCATTATGTTCCTGCCCAGTGGTATCCATTTTGAGCTCAGGCGTTTTGCCCTGGTCATCCTCCTGGCTTCTGGACTTTCATGTTTTGGCACCTGGAAAGCTAAGGATGACTTTGCCTCTGCTTTGCCAGCTCAGCAGTAGAGCAGCTGTGTTTAGTGCACTGCCGGGCTGTTTCTCTGTATGTGCTCATTTTCTGAGCAGGTGTGTTCTCCAGATACACCTTTTCAGGTGGTAAGTATCATCAGTCAGCAATGCCCAAGGAGCCAGAGGAGAGGGAGGGAAAGGGCTCATTAGTCTCAATCCAAAGTTCCCTCACTGTACCTGGAATCCTGGCATGATGCATCTGTCCCCTTTTGTACGCTCTCTGTTCTGGGTGTCATTATTCCCACCAAGAAACTTCATGGAGGGAGAAGGAGGGTAGGAAGGTAAGTATATTGTTGGCTGCTCTCTCTCTCTCCAAATGGCACAGATATACTTCAGAACTCTGGAGTAGACGTTAGTCATTGTGTGTATGGATGGTTCTGGGTAGTCAGAGAAGTAGGCGTCCATCCCCTTCCTCATCCCCTGATTGGACCATCGGGAAACTGCAACTACAGTCTGCATCACACCCTGTTTCTCAGTACCCCTCATATTGTCCTGGTTATTAAATGTGTCTGATAAACCTCTGACCTTTCAGCTTTGATTCTTCCCGATGGTTGTGCTCTCCTTTGCACATTATTTTTATGTATTTACTGCCCTATTACTGACCTGGTTCTGCTTCATTTCCTTGTTCACTCTTTAATTTGGTAGCACTTTATTTTACGGTCCACTAACTTTGTTGAAAATAAATTCACTTTACTTGTGTGGTTAGTATTACTCATTTGATAACATAAGTACCATATTAGGGTGCAGTGAATGCATAGTAAGTGTTGTGCAATTACAAGGTAAATATATGATGGGTTTATTTTATCCTCACGGCCCAACACAGGGTGACATTGTAATTACTTTGGACCCATTAAGTGTACTTACCACATAATCGTCGGAAAATTAATTACCTAGTTAGCTTCTGCCACCTTCCATTTCCACACACTTTGAGATTACACCTCTTTTAGGATTAAGTTGTCCTGGATAAATCTCCTATGGTGAATCTCAGTAGCCATTATGAATCTGTTTCAGGGATGAACCACACCCAATGCATATCTGAAAAGAGTTGAAAATCAACTATAGCACATCTTGGGGGCTGGGGAGACAGCCACATTCTAAGTTCGAACTAACGCTTTTATTTTTGCTTTGCCCATGCATTCAATAGGATGGAGTAGGAGAGGTATGGGAGAATCAGCATGTGTCCTTTTAGTGACCAGCCCTCTTCCACAACAAAATGTTAGAGTCTAGCATTTAATCAGTGTCAGAAAATATTTACCAGGGACATAAGAGCCCTGGAACCAAGATCTTCAGATCTCACTGTAAAAATAGTCTCATCATGGTAATTGGGGTTACCATTGTTCTCTGCATCTGAATGATTTGTGTCAAAGCTAACATTCATATTTGTGAACTCTGATCTTCTCTTTCTTGACTCATTCACCATGGATTAGCCTCTCCCTAGATTGCTCTGTGGGGATGCATGTACCCCAGGTCTTGTATGAGCAGAGCAGTCACCCATTTTTCTTTTTTTTTTATCATTTGTGTGATTCTGTTCTCCCTGAAATAAAAGTAAAATGTAAAAATACTTTGCAGGTAAATATGACTTCCCAAAGTAAGTTAAGGAGCTGGAGTTGCCTGTTTTTACTTGAAAAATTTTATGTTCTTTGCAAAATTGATTCTCTGCAAGAGTCTATTACATGGTAAGCTACCATAATGCAGTTAAGATATTTGACTAGCATCACTTTGATTTATACAAGGCATTTTAGAAACATGATTATTGTGCAAATGAGAGTATTACTTGTGGCTAATTGCAGATGTCATTTTCTTTGAGCAGTAGCTCCAAAAATCCAATAGCATTTCATTTTGTGCCCAGGGAGGCTCTTTGGCTTTGCGCCCATGTTAGCCACTTAGGATTTCTCTTGTGTCTTTCAGGCATTGAGAATGCCAGTGACATTGCTTTGTACTCCGGCTTGGGCGCTGCAGTCGTGGCTGTTGCAGTCCTGGTCATTGGTGTCACCATCTATAGACGGAGCCAGAGTGACTATGGCGTGGACGTCATTGACTCTTCTGCATTGACAGGTGGCTTCCAGACCTTCAACTTCAAAACAGTCCGTCAAGGTCAGCGGCGTAGGTCCCCCAACACCTCTTCCTCAGGACCCGACTGCATTCACACGGGAGCCCCAGTGTTCTCCTCGGTCCTGTGTGAAAGTAGCCGTTGGCCCTAGGAGCCGCTACCAATTGTTTGCACACATCAGGACAGCAGACTCAACCAAGCGTCCTATTTCAGTCCTTGGCTACTGCAAGGACAAATGCATTTCAGTTTACTGTTAGCAACATTTTAAGTGAGGCAATTCCATCTTTGATGTACAATGAGCTTAACAAGTTGCATATCTCAAATTATCCAACTTTCTTTTTTATGGATATATATTTAATTTAGTTAACTAAAATACTGATTATTTGAGACTGAAGACCAACCTTCCAAGCATATTTATTATACTATTTTTGGTTTCTTCTATTTTAAATAAGTAAAAAGACTTTAGAGGATAGACAATGGGTCAGTTAGCCAGGAAAAAAAATGAAATCCAAACCTAAATGACCCTGAGCTATTGCCAAGCCCAAGCAACCTTTTGTTGTAAGGGAAGGAAAATTTATCGTGTCAAACTTCAGCAATACCCATTTTCAAAACAGTTATTTAATTCTCTTATTTGAATCAAATCTATTCCTGACAGCAGAGTGGGGATGAGACATACCTGGCTTTAATTTTTAAAAAGATAAAACCATCTCTCCTCAGAGATGAAGTTTTCTCCCTTGACTCTTATTTTCCATATTGTCTCCTTTATTTCTGTTTATTGTGTGAAGATAGTGCTTTTGGCATAGATCCAGAAGTCTCAGGGCTTAGCATCGATTGGGGTAGATGGACCACTGACATGTCACCCCAAGCCCACTAGAATAAAACAATTGAGAGATAGCCGGAGAGAGAAGGTTGCTCCTGTCACCTTTAATTTCTAGGCTCCTTAGGTGTCCAGTAGGGATCTACTCCACAGATTTGTATATAGTTTAGTACATGTGACTTTAAATTAGAGACAAATCCAGTGAAGAACTTATTTTTATTCTACATATGAAACTGAGCATATATTTCCATCAAATAAGGTGTCCATATCTTCAACTATGGACTATGGACTGTATCATCTATATCTATCTGTCTATCTATGTGTGTGTATACATGTATCTGAGGTGCTCTCTATTCTCTCTCTCTCTCTCTCTCTCTCTCTCTCTCTCTGTGCGTGTGTGTGTGTGTGTGTGTGTGTGTGTGTGTGTGGGTGTGCTGGGCAAGCACCGTACCACTGAGCTATATACCCAGCCTTGTACATAGTTTTATAATAAAGGCCTTTTTCATGTCTGTGCTGTCTAACTTTAGGAAATACTTTTTGTTTCTTTGCTTTATGTTAGCTAGGAGGATCTTTTAAGAGTAGCCAAAAATGAAGCTTCAGAAACTGAAGGGTTGTAATCAAATAGTCAGGAGACTTAGGGATATGATTTTTGAGGTCTCTATGGAAACTTCTATTCCACACTCTTTTTCATGAGGGATGTTCTTCAGTCCTTCTTGCTCAGGTTAAGACCAAAGTCTTAACCTATAGAACCCAGTGTGGTTCTGTTAAAAAGCAAAGTTCTTGATGGTGGCTGTCTTGGTGTAGCAGCTCCAAATGTGAAAAAGACATCATCAAGAAGCCATTAGATCTACATTATTTTATCTCATTTGTGTATTTTCTCGTGATTCTAGATTCTTAGAGCATCCAAGAAGAGGTGGGAAAAGCCAGGGTTATAGATTTCTGCTGGCATTGTTACAAATTACAAAAGTGGAAAAACAATAGAGGCTAATACAATATGCCCAGAATTGCAAAACTTTCAAAAATATCACACTTTAAACATTTTTATCAGGCCCCAAAGGAAAACTGTTTAATATGGTTTGGGTTTCAATTTGAGATGTCACATTGATGGACTGATATGGGTGGGAGGCTTGGGAATGAGGGTTATTTTGTTATTTACTAATAAATGAGATTACTTCATCACAAGAAAATATCACAGCATTTCTTTTGGTTGGTGAGCCTTGACAGATGACAAAGTCCAATTTCTCGTGTTTTTATACAGAATGTTTTTTTCATTTGTTTTGAGACAGAAAGGAGACCATGGTGGGCTGCTCCCCACATAAAATCTGGGTTGCCCTCTGTCCCTGTGTGGAGCATTTTTCCCTCTGAGTGACATGTGTGATATTGTCTACACAGATGCAGAGACACTCATGAGGTCTCCATTTGCTCCAAGGACACATCACTTCCTCCCCCAGCTTCAGAAACTGCCCAGAATTCCACAAGAAATGTTCTGGAACCGACACATCTTTTTTATAAACAGCACTACCTAGTCACCATGCTGTATCATCTCTTGCCATTTAAAATGAACAGATGTTATTTTTGCTCCAAACTGAATTGCAAAACATTTTTCTTTTCCTTTTTTTAAGCTCTTCTTTGCTAGTTAAAATAATCACATAAATAGCAATACCTGAGTTAGTTAACTGACCCAGTACCAGAAATACTTGTCTTAAAAAGATGGCATGTAAACCTCTCAGGAAATGAAGGCTTTGGGCTGCAACATTCAGAAAATGGTCTAGGAAAGACAGAGCTGCTGATTCCAAGGCACTGGTCACTAAAAACCAATGTATTACAGCTGCTGTACCTGCTCAGGGTAGGCCTGGAGAGCTGGCTCTGACCAGAGCAGCTGGCAGCATTCAGGTTAGTAGAGGCAGCTGTGAAAAGGGAATGGCGATGTCCTTTAGTTTCTGAGTGACAGATCCATTTTTTTTTTCCAGGTAACTCCCTGCTCCTGAATTCTGCCATGCAACCAGACCTGACAGTGAGCCGTACATACAGTGGTCCCATCTGTCTACAGACCCTCTGGACAAGGAACTCATGACAGAGTCCTCGCTCTTTAACCCTTTATCTGACATCAAAGTCAAAGTTCAGAGCTCATTCATGGTTTCCCTGGGAGTGTCTGAGAGAGCAGAGTACCATGGCAAGAATCACTCTGGGACTTTTCCCCATGGAAACAACCGAGGCTTTAGTACAATGCATCCCAGAAACAAAACACCCTTTATCCAAAACCTGTCATCACTCCCCACAAGGACGGAACTGAGGACAACTGGTGTCTTTGGCCATTTAGGGGGACGCTTAGTAATGCCAAATACAGGTGGGTGGTAAGTGTGTATTTGTATATTTTTCTGTGTTTTTTTAAATACTTTACATTTATGCAGTTACATCTCATTTTACAAATTTCACCATCCCTTCTCAGAGCAACAAACACCATGGCTGTACCAGTCTACTTGATGCACACAGCAAACCAGAAGCTAAGCTGCAACTACACTTTGCTGTCTTCATTTCAATGTGGATTGAATGCTCTTTTAGATGCCCTGTGAAGTTGATAGCCATATTTGTGTAAAAGGTCTGGAGTTTACGTCCCTCAGAATGCATTATATGATTGATCAGAAAGCACTGAGAACACTCTTTGACTTGGACTGTGTATATACACATGCATGGTTTATGCACTGACAGATAAGCGACTGCAATGACATTCAGTCAAATTTCACCAGTAACTGACCTAATAAACACTCTCAATGTCCATCAACCTTATTGTTATTTCATGATAAGCAATGATGAGGAATCCTTTGAATTCAAACTTCAGTTCCAGAGTTGTTCAATAAACACAATTACTTGCCAAGTATTTTCCCCCTATTGTGTTGGAAGAGAGATATTCATGATGTTCTGACAGAATCCTTCAGGTGTCCAGCTCACATCACTTTTTTTTTTTTTTTTTTTGAGGTACAGGGGTTTTAATTCAAGGCCTTATGCTTGCAAATGTTCTACCACTTGAGCCATTCCCAGTCCTTTTTGCTTTTGCTTTATTTTTTCAGTTAGAGTCTCAAGCATTTTGCCCAGAGCTCTCCTTGGACCATGATCCTCCCATCTCCACCATCTATGTAGCTGAGATTACAGACATGTATCTCCATGCCCAGCCTCAGCCCAGGTCACGTTTACAATGGCATCCTATCCATTGACTAGTCTTCAGAGATGCTGCCTGAGACCTAAGTGGCTGACAGAAGAGGACAATTTCTCATTTGAGTTCTGAGCCATGAGAATTAGATATTGTTCTAAAATCTGCAGTCTCTGTTCACTTCTGAGAGGAACGAGTCCATTGGATCTGCAGATGTTATTACACAGAAGGTTAGCATCCAGTCAGAGCTTTGACAAGTTTCCCTCAAAGCTGGAGCTAGCCAACATTTATCTAATGAAATGAAATCTGTAACAGAGCTAGTCTCAGGCTACTATCCAGCTAACTGACCCCTCTAGTAGTTTAGTGACTTAAGTTGATGGGTGTAGTCTTATTCTCTACTAGATCAGTTGTGTTCTTTAAAATATAATTTCAAAACATTTTATTTCTTAAAAATAGCCCTCCCATGCATCCCTAATAATGATTATGTTTTCTTACCTTCCAGTTTTCTAAATCTTCCTTGGTCAGGGTTCTAGGACATGAAGGGACCTTCACCCAAATATGTATGCATGTCAGCATATAGGTGTCTATGTGTGATGTGATTCTTCCTATTGGTAATTGGTAGAGTGTTCTGATTTGTGGCTCTGGAATTATGAGAACTGGCAGATAGGAGACTCAATGAGAAATGAAGTAGTGAACCACATGAAGTAATTACTCTCTGTATAAAAATTCATTACAAGTCCTGGAAAAAGAAAAGTAAAACACACAACCACTGTCATCTCACAGAATAATATGTGAACATTAGAGTAATATGAAGTGACCATTGAGTCATTATGTCTTTATTTTAGCCCCTCTTTCAAGGCCCTGCTTGACCCTCATCGTCATCCATATGTGTTTGTGTTTGTGTGGGTGTGCATACATGTATGTACACATGTTGAAGGGGTACCAAAACCCACCCATACATTGCCTACATTGGTTTAATGTTCCTCAAATAAAGAAGGAAATTATGATAAACCAGAGAGTTTTCTTTTCCTTCTTCTCTGATGTGAGAGGCATTCATGGTGAAAACAAAAACTCTGATAGCACTGCCAATGATTTCCACCCATTTCCTCTGTGAAAGGGATGTTTTCAAAGCTCCATACAGGAAGTCCTGGACAAAATCAAAGTTGTTCATTGCAAATGAGTTTGAGCAGAAATAAGTGTAGGGAACTGAAACATTCCCTGTTATTTGTAAGACATAAATGCAAAATATGCCCTGGGGAGCTAAAGTATAAAGAAAGCGTGGCACAGAAATTAGATTGTTCTAATGCCATCGCCCCCAATTGTCATATGATGCACTCTGGAAGTCATTTATTATGTGACATATGAAATGGAAAACTCAGACAAGTGGTTCTGTTGTCATATCACATAAAAGGCTGTCAGGGGAGCAAGGTGGAGTTTGGGAGCAAAATATCTTTGTTTAATCAGAGATAACTGGTGAATGACATATTGAAAATGGATACTTCTTCAAGAGACCATAGGAAAGTGATAAGAGCCCCTGCCTAGCAACCATGAGGCCCTGAGTTCAAACCCCACACCACCAAAACAAAACAAAACAAAACGAACAAGCAAACAAAAAAACCCAAGAGACCATAGGCATAAAGTTTCACACGGTGCCTCTCATTCCTCATGATATATATCTTGCCACCAACACTACCACTCCCTATGACCCTTGTCTCTGTAGTTTACTGTCTTTGGTCTCCACATGTAATTTGCTTGTTTAGGTAGGAAGACAGAAGTATGGTTGAAGGATAGTAATACAATTTCTGATTGAAGGAGAGAGAAAAATAGTTTAAAGCTCCAATGATCCTGTAGAATCACATTGGATTTAGGAATACCATGAATAATGTTTCAATCTAAACACAGGGAATGAAGCCAATTTAAAAGGAATGAGATATGATGTGCTCAACAAACAGCTCTTTCTCAAATGTCTCATACTTATTTCTTCTCATTGGATCTGGAAGTGTATCATCAAGCCATGGTGATCTGTATAAAAAGAATGACTGAGAGCCTAGCTTGTTCACTGAGAATTTTGAATCCTATGCTATACATTCATGATATGTGTACTGGGTACCCACTACACACCACACGTTGTGCTAAGTGTTGATGTAATGTAACATATTGCTTGACAACAGGTTAGTGCACTTATATATATGACGAATAGGGTCTTACATGTGTCTTCATCATCATGGCATAGAGAGTATGAAGGAGAGGCAGCAGGCAGAAAATGCTATGTCAAACTAAGACATGGCAGAATGACTAGGGCAGGTATTCAGGTTGCTGTCCAAACACGCTGAATATCCTCAGTATTATAATCTGTGTTCAACAGCAGGAAAGAATACAATGGAGGGCACTTCATTTGGCAATTACATTTAAGGAAGAATAGAAAACGGAAGATGGCACCCAATTGGAGATCCCTAAGTATAGCAATTACAGTTCTCTGACTATTGACATGAAGGTCTAGAATATAAATGTATCTCCTTACTGAAAGGCTGTGAGCAAGATTTAAATGTGCCTCAATCTTACTGCTACTGAAAGATGCTGATGATAACTAGCATGTTACTGAATAATGCTTCTAAATGTGAATCACAAATAGCTTGTTTTGCAATGAGTCTTGTATTCCTTGACTCTCTAGCTTCTAACAGGCACATAGACAAATAGGAAGCCTGCCATCTCTAGACTTAAATTATCATCAGCAACTTGAAAGCTTTCTGTACGATTAACTCTAATGAAAGGAAAAAAGGTGAGAGCTGCATTATGCACAAAATAGGATACCCTCCGAGTTCATTTTGTAAAGATCCTACTGTTTCTCTGTTTCATTCCTTGTTATAAACAAGAAACTACATTAAAGCGAGTCCCAGTTCTCTCTAGATGTCTCTCATGGCCAATGTGAAATATTTTTCTCATAGCATTCAAGAAGGAAAGAAGGGACATTTAAAATTCGGTGTGATGTGGCTTCCTGTTCTTTCCTTTCTACAATGTATGATTTCACTGATGTAAGTCTGCTGAGTTCTTGCAATTTGAAATTGACATTGATATGGTTAGATTACTTTAGCCTTAACTCTTTTTAGCAAATTTAAAGACTATTATTTGATAAAAGATTATTATGAATATCAGGTGCTTTTACTTTTTTGTAGTTTTCTTGACATAATGTAGTAGTCCAAGGTCAGGAGTGGTGGCTCATGTCTTATAATTCCAGTATTCAGGAAGCTGAGGCTGGATGATCGTGAATTCAAGGCCAGTCTGGGCTGCATAGCAAGTTCTAGGCCAACTTCAACTACATGGCAAGACCCTGTCTCAAAAAACAATCACTGAAACAAAACAAAACTTTGCCAGTCAGCTGAGCACCACCCTCAACTCCAGATGCACAATTTGTAAGACAGTTTCATACCAGGTTCAAGCAAAGTATTAGGTCACCGATCATTCCAGGTAACTTTTCTGGAAACCAATGGATACAAATAGCATATAAAGATACATTTTTTAAGTTTGGAGCAGATTAACTGATGCGCTGACAAATTCTTATCTTTCAAAAGAACTAAACAACCAGGAAAGCTTTAAAAATTAAAGAAAAAAAAATTTATTTAAGTGTCCAGTTGAAAAATATGCCCTTCTTTGTGTCATTGTTATAAAATAGTGCTTTTTCCCTTATTATTTTGACTTTTTAATTTTTCCAAGGATTGGAATTTAACACATTACCATGAGAAGGTCCTTTCTTGTGGACATGTATAAGGCACTTAAGAGTCACACTTCAAAATAATTGGAATGTCTGTGAATAACCTCTTGGCTTTTTCTGTTTTAGGGGTAAGTTTACTCATACCTCATGGCGCCATCTCTGAGGAGAATTCTTGGGAGATTTATATGTCCATCAACCAAGGTGAACCCAGGTGAGAGCCAGACAAGCATGGTGTATTAGCAATTTCATAAATATGGGCTGGAACTTCCATGGGAAATCTGAAGTTACTAAGATAATGAAATAAGGAGATACAAAGATGAGGGAGTAAGCCACTTGGCTCTACAGAGGGAAAAGCCCGTTGTAAAACCATTGGCCAAAGTAAAAACCTGCATCTCCTGTTTAGCATCTAAACAGGAGACACCATGTGGGAAACAGTGAGTTGGTAGATAGGTCATAAATAACCATAAACAGTGGCTGCCTCACAGAGTCTTCCTCTCAAAAGGAAATGAAATTACCCCTGGAGATGATCTTTGGTGCTAAACATTATGCTGATTCATCCAATGATTGACTCATGACCCTTTCAAGGTCAGCAGAAGACCTGCTATATATAGTCTGAGAAACAATTTCTTAGGCAGTTTTCCTCAATGTAAAAAATACAGTCTAAACTTCAATAGCTTTCAAGTCTGACAAATTTCAGCAGCATTAGATTCAATTACACGAACAAATACAAATCTTGTCACATACACTTTTAATGAAAGTAGTTGGTTATTTTCTTAGTGCAACTATAATATTTGTAGAAATGTTGCCTTCCTCCACAAGATAAAGCTAACTCCTCGTTAGAAAGCAATTTCTCTTATAAACTGGATATATACCTCTGGCATTTTCAGTCATAACATCTTGGTTATGTTAGAATAGATTTTTTTGTTGTTAGCAAAGAATACATGAAAGAAAAACACTGGAAAGAAAAACAAGGCAGAAAAACAGATGGTTTAAACAATTTTTGATAGCTATTTCTATGAAAGGATTTGAGCATGCCCAACAGTTCTAGCTTTCTGCTATACTGAACTTGAGAAGAATGGAAGAAAAAGGTCTTCTTGGTCATTGGTGAGGCTCGTAGAGGATTTGTATGTTGCTGTGCTAGGTTGAACATTCATCTTATTTCCTCAATCCTATAAACCTGAAAATGTGCTGGTGTCTAAATAACTCCATTTGACAAATGGGAAAAACTGAGACTCAGAGATTTCTTTTGGTTGTTTGGCTTGGTTTTTAAATTTTTTTTCTGTTTGTGGGGTGCTAGGGATAGCACCAGATCTTCATGAATACTAGGTAAACACGCCTCCACTGAGCCACACTCCTCAGCCCAAGATGCAAAGAGTTTTAAAGACTTAACATCAAAATCTTAGCTAAGTCAATTAGCAGACCTAAAGTCTGAGTTGTTTGGGTGGAAGTCATATCTTGTTTATCCTTTGCTTTACTTAAGAAATCACACCTGCTTAGACCAATTATAGATAGGTATGCTTTTAAGCACATCATCTTACAAACATCTAGTACAATCATCCGTCAGCATCCACAGGGGTTCCAGGACTTTTCAAGGACAGCAAAATCTGCAGATTCTCATGTCCCTTATATAAAATGGCATAGTACTTGCATATAACCTATGTACTTCCTTCTGTACACTTTAAATCTTCTCTATATTGCTTCTAATACTTAGTACAATATAAATGCTGCATAAAGGGTTGTAATGTATTGTGTGGGGAACGATGACAAGACAAATGTTTGGATATGTTCAGTATCGATGCAATGTTTTTTCAAATATTTTTTATCTGAAGTTGATTGGATCTGTGGATGTCAGACCTGAGGATACAGAGAGCTGACTGTGTAAAGAAGAATCCAGTCAGTCTTTCCTGTCATCCTCCATCTCTGAATCACCTCCCTTCACTGTAATTGATCCACCAAGTCTGTGTTCAACTTGTTCCTCTCAAAGCCATCCCCAGTGTCTTCTACCTCATTACATGAGAACCAACCTAGGGCTACTTCACATTTTTCCAAGACACCTAATTTACAACTTACTTCAATCCCTGTCTCTTACTATAAGCTGCCTCTTCTTAAGAGGCTAGAATTAGGATGTGCCAACAGATATCAAATGTATAAGGACTTAAATAAAATGGCTGGAAAATATCAGAAAGGAATATTACTTGGGACATCCTGTGATTTTAAGATAAGAAGAAATAGCTATGAACTTATAGAGTCTAAAGTTCTCAAAAGACAGGTTGGCTTATGGAGGCCATTCTCTGGGCCACTTTTAACTTTGTAAGTTCCATGTAACCAGTTTGCTTTATCCATTTGTGTCAAGGGTATGAGTTCATTGCTGCTGTCTAGGGAAGTGGATAGAAACAAGAATAATCTATCCAAGACTTTACATCTGTGAAGTGTGCATTTCCTACCTATTAATTGGAAGAAATAAAATTGTAAGAAGCATACATTTTCTTTCAGGTTGATGAAATCTTCCCAGATGTTCCTGTCTCCTGAGGGAAGGAGCAGTCTCTGGGCTGCAGGCCATTTTGCTTCCTTGGCAATCCTTATTCCCCTTTGAGTGGCACCACACTGGTTATCAAAACACTAAAAATAACAAATGCCTTTCTGCTCCTTTTTTTTCTTTTTCTTTAAGGTGAGATTAATTTTTTCTGTCTGTGCCAAGAGGCTCTCTGTTCTTCAAATTTTGATCTTGTGAATAATCAGAAAGTGACCAGTGTATCATCTTCTCTTTGCAATATCACCTGAAATTCTGTTTTTAGTTTATGCCGACTGTCATCCTAAACATTTCTCAAAGTCCAGAGAGGCGAATGCATTGCTCTGATTCTTTCATCATTACCTCTAAAGCTGTCACTGTCCCCTCCCTTTTTATTAAATTGTCCTGGTTCCATACAGGACACAGTAGGATCTTCCAAACAACATCTTGATGTGGTATATAGCTTGAAGTTAGCTCCATCTTCCTTCTGACAAGGCATTTCTGTTGCCCCTTTCTGAGCAACATCCCCAGTGCAGCAAGGTTGTGACTTACTGGAAGTGTAACTGATAATAATTAATCCAAATTCTGTACCTGATTCCCAGAAACATGGCTGTGTGGAAGAAATCAAAGGCACAAAACAGTATCCTGTATTTAACTAATTATACATAGATAGCTTTGCTTTCGTGTTTTCATAAATTTAAAGTTTAGTTGCTCTTTGTCTGAATTAAACATATTCTGTATCTCTTGGGAGGTTCCATTTGCATTCCTGGTCAGCCTTCACAATGACACTGTACTTTCCAGTAAGAAAAACAATCACTTTCCCTCCTCAGCATCACTGCTCTTCTGTATTTTCAGATGTTAACAACTACCTTAATGAATCTTTTCTAACTTTCTCCAGCAGTGTGGAGCTTTGGTTAGTGCCATAGTTTCTATCTTAAATGTCCCCCACAGGCCCATGTGTTAAAGACTTGGTTGCCAGTCTATGGCACTGTTGAAAGGTGGTGGAATTTTCTGCTTGTAGTGTCAAGTCATCATTCAACGAGTTTCAGAATTTGGGGCATTTCAGGTTTTGGATTTTCAGATTAGGATTTTTTGACCTCTACCACTGTAATAAAACACTTCGCAGAAAGTAATGGGAAAATAGAGCAGGATCCTTAATTAAGGATAGACTTAAGTAGGGACTTCTGGAGATGTTATCTGAACTCAGTCTTAAAAGAGGAGAAGTAATTGGTCAGATAAAGAGGAGTAAGGGCCTCAGTGATTTCTGTCTCCTAAGGTACATTTTCCTACTTCTCCATATAGGGCAATAGGTGTGTGCATGGGGGATGGGGAAGGGAGGTTCCTTAAGAGTGGCTAAATCCAGAGGGTTTCCCCTGCTTACAGCCACTCTAATGTCAGAACATTGCCGTAAATATCTTCCTTCCTTCCACCTCTACCCCAGGCCTTGCCACAAAATGCAAAGAGCTAGGTTTCATGCACTGCACCATCTCAAAATGGAGGAAAGTTAGTGACATTGCAGTACAGGGAGTGGAGTGGCCTCACAGAAAAGCAATGGTATGAAATTGGAGCTACCAAAAGTACTTACTGGTGAGAAGCCTTGGGGTTCTCCTGGACAGGGGATGTGTGAGCAACTGGCTCAAAGCCAAAAGTGGCCACCTGCTCAAAGACTTCATGCAGGGGAGGAAAGCTGCAGCTATTCCAAAAACAAACAAGCAAAAAAGGCTGTCTCATTTTCCAAATTTCAGCTTGAAAGATTTAGGGTCTTTTTTAGTTTGGGTTGTTTTGAATGTTGAACTTGTGTTTTGCGTTTGCTCAGAAATGTTTTTCTTGGAGGAGGGGTAGATTTCATTCTTTCCACTTTTACCAGGTTGCAATCATTTTGTTATAAAATTAAACTGAGGCAATTTAAACAATAAGCTCTGTCTCTTCTAATATCCCTTCCCTCTCATACAATAAGAATGTGTTATGGATGTTGCACCATCTTCCCCTTCCCTTCCCTGCCCAGCAGTCTCTCTCTCTCTCTCTCTCTCTCTCTCTCTCTCTCTCTCTCTCTCTCTCTCTCTGTCTCTCTCTCTCTCTCTCTCTCTCTCTCTCTCTCCAACCTGCCCCACCCCAGGGTTGGAGAGTAGAGAACTGGACCAGAAAATTATTATAGGGAGCTTTCTTCTGAGAAGCAATAAAATGGAACCAAAGGCAAACATTCATTTCTCTTCCAATTACAGTCATGTGGATATTCCTGACCAAATGCTCAGACTAACGTCAGAAGTGTTGTAAGTGATCTTTCTGAAGGATTTGCAAAAGGACACATTATCTGGAGTTTGGACTTAGCCAGATAGGGTATTTCAACCACTTTTGTCTCTGCTTTTTGCTATCAAGTCATGTGGTCTGCCCAACAGGTACCTTGGGGTAAAGAGTGGGAAGGAAGAGGTGATGATAAAAAACATGATTTTTCAGAAATATGCTTAGCTGGTGCAATCATTTTAATAGAGAAATGTAAAATAACATCAAATCCTAGACTAGGAAGAAAGGAAAAATAGTTCTGGAGAATGGAGTTTCTTTTCCAGTGATGGGCTCACAAACACTGCAGCATAGGCAGCTCCAATGGAATAGCCTCATGTTTGTTTGTTTGTTTTTCATAGCAGCAACACACACAATTATAGACACAATGGCACATACCTCCTCCTGTATCGTGCCTGACAGAG